TCATATTGTGTCAATAAGCTCGGTGAATTGGAGACGATATAATTTGTATAGTGAAAATTAATTATTAAGGAAACTATATTCTGGTATTTAAATAAGTTGAGTGATAAGGTCTCAAGAAATAAAAAAAGTCAATTAAATATAATTGTCGGTAATTTATTTAATTGATGGACATCTGTAATCTTAAACATGGAGAGATTATTAAGCATATAATAATAAGGAGCTCGAATATAATTTTGAGATAAGGCTCAAGAGATCAATAATAAGCATTTAGTGGACTAACTTATTATTAATGGGCTATAAGATGTTTGTTCTGCGTTGAACATAGGAATCCTAAGCCCATTGAAAACCCGGTCCTTATTTCTCCTTAGGGTTTCTGTCGTAATCTATATATAAACGTCTAGACTCTCTAAATCAGTATCAATTCATTATTCACGTTTTGAGAAAGGTTGAGAGAGAGCAGAAGCTTAGAGGTTCTTGTAGCACACACTGCATCCAGATTTTTGGCGTTTAGGGATATACAACAGAAGATCGTGAGATTCAGCGAACTACCTTCTGCGTCTGTCTCTTGTTTTCTGTATTTGTGCAAAGGCAAGATCAAACCAGAGCGATCTCAAAGATAAACCCTAATTCTGCCTTGTAGAGTTTTAAGAAAAATTTTGTATATTCGACACTTATGCGTTTGTCAATGATTCTTGGGATTTTCGTTCTAACAACGACTATCAACATCCCTCTCCAAACCATTCACATTAAATTTCCTTTCCCTCAAATCCATCACTTTTCACTTATGTTGCACCATACCTTCAGGCACCAGTTATCTCTAGTATCTACATATAATATATCTGATACCTCTCGAGACTCAAAATTTTAACATCAAAGTTTAACATTTACCTACCTCTACTTTATCAGAACTTGTGAACTTCTACTTGATCCTTATTTTGAGCAATGTTTGCTTAAAAATTAACAGATATGAATTGTAGTCTCTTGGAGTTCCCAAGATTTATCACCACATTAAGAATGACATGGTCTGCGTTATTATACATAATTTGATTGTTTATACATAAGTCTGTTGACTCCTCAAAATCTTGATGTATTGATACACATATCCAGTCCCAAATATACATGAACTTCGTTTGTTACTCTTTTTCAGACAACATGGAAAATCTCTATAAGGTCATGGCTTAGCACAGTGGTAGAAGCTTGGTCTATAAAGCGAAAAAAGATGGGGTCAAATCTGAGGGTGGCAATTTCGTGCTAAGAAAGCTGAATGTTTAACTTGTACACAACTCACTACCCTTACCACTCCACATTGACAGTGCCCGTAGAGGGTATTCACATTTATTTTAGCAAATATCTACCATAGCATTAAAACATCAATGATACATTCCAAAATACGATAAACATTTTTGAGAAGTTGAATTTTGTAGAATTATTACTAATTATAGATAGCAACATGGTGGAAGCATAAAAAGGATATGACCAGAAGCCTAATCATGAGAGGACCAGGATCCCAGAGCATGTTGGAAGGAGAAAACTATCCAAATTAAAATACCACACTGGAAAAGCTACAGAGGTTTACCCTCATGAGAGAATAAGGATAAATGACCGATTTATTTTGCATGCCATTTAAAATCACAATGATAATAAGAACAAATGCATGAACCACATAATGGCATACCTTAACCCAGAGCGCTGAACAATCAAAGTTAGTTAGAAACCATTTATGAGCGTTCATGTTAAATGAGTCAGCTTCTTCAACACCATCAATATAATGGCGAAATTCAGGGCATATACAAGCACTTCCAGCATATGCAGCATCCACATGAAACCAGATTCCATAACTCTGTCAAAAGGTCATGCATGCAAAGAATTATAGGTCTCATTAATATCCATAGATTAAATGTAAGACGATGGGAGGAATAAAGATTAATAAAAATGAGTCACTTATTTTATCAGTTAAAGTTTTGAGAATGTATCAATATATACCAAGCAAAGCTTTTTTCTCTATGTTTGGCTCTGGAGGAGTCAGTGAAACACTTTATACATCAGCTTCTGGTTTGTCTTGAAATTCAGAGCATTAACATTTGTTCTGATTTCTTAAGTTTTCTAGCTTGTAATGGAAAACTCATTTTCTTATGAGGACTAACTTGATATCTTAGATTGGCCCTGAATGGAAGTTCTGCAAAAAAGAATCTCTTTATGCATTTCATGGTGCTCTTTGACGGAGGTGAAGTCTAGAAAGTATATTTAATTCTCATAGTCTGACTATTTCTATCTTCTCCTTTCTTTACAAGATCCCTCAAGATCATTGTATGATAACAAAGACAAATCAGAAATGATTAAACTATTAACATTATGCATGTTGGACTATAATTTTTCTTAAGCATGAACTAAGTTTTTTAAGGGAAATTCCTGACCAATGAGAAGAAAATAGAAAAAGAAATAGCAGAGGACAAATTTAACCTTCACCAATAGATCTCTGCAACATAGTGATACAGAAATCTTATCTTACCCGTGGCAAAATCCCTAGATGCATCTTTTTAACAAATCACCTTAGTAATCTTTCCCAGTGCAAGCAGAGGATCCACAGCTGTAGATGAAGTAGTACCAACCTGCAAGCACATATTCAGGGCTTCTTTAGTTAAATGACATTCCATAACATACAACATTAAGTGGCAATATGACAACCTGCAACTTGGTAAGCAAATCTATAGTACTCCAAACTAGAGATTCAGTTCAAAATAAATTTTACGCATACAAGATTTTTGTGTCATACTAGAAGTACATCATCTGATTCTGCAGCATCATTATGTGATAGCAATAATTTTCAAGTGCTTAACTAATCAACTCAGAGATGTTCAAAAAATGCTAATCAACTCAAACAATTTCTGGTCTGAAACATGAAACACCATCACTTTTGTTTTTTCTCATCGACAACAGTGTGCTCTGCAAATAACATCAACCAAGGCTTTTTCTTGAATGCAGCAGGGGAATGCATTCATAAGTGATGTAAAAAGATGGGGGATTGAAATTGACATCCATTCTAAGCCACTGGGAACAAGAAACACCAGAAGATTCACCTGAGTGTTATAACACAAGTTATCCTGCAGATATATGTCTACCAATACTTCACATAGAGTATCTAAAATTCATTTTTCCTAACCCTCAAGAGTCACAATCGATCACTAAACTTGAGCATATGCTTCTCTGAGTTATGCAAATTACAATTCATTGAAGATTCTAAATTTTCCTTAAAATGATTCATAAACAAGAAAATATCAACATACAAAGACGTTTAAGGAAAATAAGATAAGTCAAGCAAGGAGTGTTGTCTTCCTTTGAAATATTTGTAATTGAAAAAAAAAATGATAACATATTGATTCTATGAAAATCTTATTTTAAAATTCAAATTTCAAAGGTAACATAAGAGTGAAATTTTAAAATCCAAAGGTGGCATAAGCAACAAAAGGGTGATTGACATCTAGTATACTCCAGCAAAGTCACAAGACTAAGAGAGAATTTTAGTTATTTCTGAATTTCCTATTGTGAACATCAATTTTTGAATTAAGAAATGCCAAAATTTGACTAGGACCAAGAACTACAGGGAATCTCCATCCTATCACTATTACATATCAGAAACAGGCCAAGAAAAATAAGTGAATTTCCAGTTAAAAGGAATCATGTAACACATCTACTGGGTAATAAAAGAAAATTCCAGCCCAATAAAGCATTTGTATATTATATTTGGAACACGACAGGAGAAAGATGCAGCACAAATTGGCATTCGAAGTTTTTTTTTTTTTTTTGGTATCTTACAGTAGCACATAAGAAAAAGGGGATTAAACCCGTGGCAATGTCACATGCAATTGCTTCATTGAGTGCATCTGGAGAAAGAGCATATTCAGTGGAAGAATCTGTTTTGAGCACCCGACAGTTCTCTGGATAAATTCCTCCTATCTGCGATAAATAACAAGAGAACAATTAACAAAGGTCACATATTTGTAAGATGAAGTTCAATGCCTGAACTAAGCACATGCACTGACTGAGAAAAAAAAAGAAACGAAAAGATAAAAAAGAACCTGCATGTTCAGAGTACAACTACATAACCCACATAATTATGTATACCCTACTTAAAACCAACCCCCAATATGTTCATATAAAATAGGAAAATTTGGCATGCGCCACCGGCACAACTAAATGACCTTGAAATTGATTGCATTCAGGCACATCTCAAGGTTTATGCCTCAAACACCTACAGAAAATACCAAAGGAATTGCACCTTATTTATTACCTATTGTGCTAATTGTAACCAAATATGACTGCCAGCGATGATAAGAGCAGAATAACTATCCAGCCTCGTAAGTTGATTCAGCTTGGTGACATTTACATACTGAAAAGATAGTGATCCATCAAGAGGAGTCCCCACAACTTGCTTAATGAGGAATCATGAGCACAAGTATCAAACAATGAAATAGAAGACTCTTGAAAGATTAAGTCAATGGTAGAGTGTCCCCTTGATAATTGTGCCGTTATGCCTAGGCTGTGAGGCAGAATAGTAGATTGGAATGAATAATTATTGAAGGGTAAGGTTAATCAAAACGAGTAGCATTTGAGGTTTTTTACGACTGCCCTTACTAAACACATATCAAAATGTTTGTCTACTCCCAAGGAATCAGCTTGTAGGCATCCAGAATGCTGGAATTATGATATCCACATTAAAGCAATCAATACATACTATTATTTTAATGCTTCGGCAGAACAATTTTACTGATAAGGGCCTGCAGTATGGCTCCATTGTATATATGAAGAACCTTATGCATATACAAATACTTTACTACCTTATGAGAATGAAACTATAAATTCTTACTCACGATGCATCTTTTTGGAGAGCCGTATCAATCTATAGCTCTTCCAGCAAAAGAAAAGAGACAAATAATAGTTCTGTCAACTGAACCCCCCCCCCTTCTCTTCCGAATTTCATCCAATTTAAATTTCATCATTCTCGTCTGATCCTAGCATGATTATGCTCAATTTTCTTTTTGTTTAAATTTCAGCTTAGCATTCATCATTCCTAAAAAGTTGGTAACACTTTTGGCCTAGAAAAGGAACTGAAAAAAAAAACAGAGCACTGCTGAATAAGGAATAAATTCATTTTATGACCCATTCAAATGATTATGTTAAATTGTGCAATCTCCATTGGTTGCAACAATACTGAGCGATGAATTCTATATTTTACAGATTGATCATGGAAATTCAAATATCACTCCAGAAGGATAGAAATCATAATTTAAGGATAAAAGATTTAACTTTTTGTAGATACCTGGCAGGCTTTCTGTACAGCAGAATGAGTTTGATCAGAAGAATAAACCACAAGCTTTCCAAGGGCATCTTTTCCAACACTTCTCAAAACTTTTTCACGGGCAGCCAGTAGTACAACTAGAACAGCTTCACTTGCTGTGCCCTGTATTACCCCACCACCTTGCCCTGTAACATGGTTCCCAACACAAGAACTATTACAAACCAAAGTGTTGCACCTAAAGCCAAAAAAACTTCTTAAGATGTTCAAGCAAATCTGAACACATAACCACCACCACCACCAAAAAAAAAAAAAAAGAAAAGAAAAAAAATTAACAAACCGATTAGGACTCGGTCTGAGCAATAGTTGACATTGAAAAGAATATACTAAATGTTATTTTCCTCAAGAAAGAAGCAAAATGCAAAGACTTTATACAAAGAAAAAGGCTTAAACTTCCCATATTATTAAATTACGGCAAAATTTTACCAATGAAACCCTTACCTGTTGAAAGGAAATTGTCAGGAAGCTTAAGTAATTTAGCAAGCCAATCCAAAACAATCATTTCAAGTTCTGTGGCTGCAGGAGAAGTTATCCAGCTGAATCCCACCATATTAATTCCGGCACTGAGCATTTCTCCCAAAAAACCCGCAACACTGCTATTAGAAGGATAATATGCAAAAAAATCAGGGCTTTGCCAATGGGTCACCCCAGGAAATATTTTTGCCTGAACATCTGCAAGCACATACAGAATTAGAACCTTAGCATGAAAAAGAATATTCTGATTAAATGGCCAAACACATGAGAAACCAATTGAGAAACTTACCGTCAAGAACATCTTGCAAGGTTTCAGGGCGTGTAGGTGCAGCATCTGGCAGTAGTTTGCATAGATACCCAGGCTACATAAAAATTCCATCTTGGGGGTAACTAACAATGCAGATACTATAGACAGCAGAAGTAAGAAAGCATGCATATTGAAGGCTTGAATTTATAATTATTAGTTAACAAAAGATGGAACATATTAAGACATTATTAGCAATCCCGTTTTCATTGCTCTGGTACGAAAGCAACCCATAAAGGTCAATTAAAGAAACCGGCACAGCATACACACAGAGAGAAGATGCTTATAATTTTAATGTATTTCAGTTGTTTACTTCAAGGAAACCCATAACGATTGACTGTTAAAGAGACTCACGGAAATATTTGAAGAAAGAGAAATACAGGTAAAGGAGAAAGAACATGACAGAGATTCAAGTACACCCCAATTTGGCTTGGAACAGGTGAATTCTCAATGTTCTTGTAGTAATCAGAGAGATGCTTGACTGCAATATTTTTTGCGGTATATCATTCATTAAACTTCAAAGTACCCATAAAGATTGACAGTAAAATATGAAGAAAGAGATATACATGTAGCGAAAATGTCCAGAAACCCCTAAAGATTGACTGTAAAAAGAACCCACGGAACATATGAGGAAAGAAATATATAGGTAGATAAATTTTCTAGTTAGAGAAGAAGAGAGTTCACAATCCTCCGAAAGTCCAAATAATCGTTTCTCTTTCATTATCTTTTGAAACCACTGTTACATGATAACAAGAAAGAAGAAAGAAGAAGGAAGAGGGTAGATATTCAAGTACACCTCAACTTGGCTGAGGACAGGGAAATTCTCGATGTTCTTGTAGTAATCAGCAATGAAATCTACCATCTTGTGAGCGTTCTCTCTCAGTTGTTCTGCATCCATTGGCTTCAATTCACCTTCCCTAGTAATTTCAAATCCAAAGAAACATAATATCAGACATAAATCATCCACAGCACCATACCAATGGAAAGATTTAGAACGTTCTACACACAGTCTCTGTGAGAAAGACTCTGACTTACATCTTCTGGTACGAGGAGGGAAGAGTTCAACTGAGAATGTAGAGGTTTGGCCTCTTTCTCTCGTGGGTAACGAGGGGATCAAAATGGGTTAGAGAGGGAGAAAGAGAAAATAAAGCTCTGAGCGAGACGGCAATGGGAGCCGTTGAGACTCTCTGAGGAATGTGTTTGAATGTTTGCGTTCGTCGTCTCTCTATATTCGTGGAGGGCTAGCTGCCACAATGGAATTAAAATATCAATGGAAGTGCCGAAAGTATTAAGGTACGTTTTATAATGTTTTTTTTTTTTTTTTTTTTTAATAAAATAAAAAATAGAAATAATTTTTTTTATGATAAAAATTAAAAATATAAAACATGCTTAATATTTATTTATATTTAAAAAATTATGAAAAAAAAAATATTTGGTATTATAAGAATGTTTTTCATTATTTATTATTGATGGGTCAGACCCAAAGGTCCAACTTGTGTTATAAGTCCGGTCCGAATTTATAGCTCGATTCTAAGAGATCCAACAAATTCAACCCAATGTGGTCAACTCAATCAAGCTCATCAGGCTCAAGGAGCTACTACATCAGCAAGGAGTAGACAAAGTCATCCAAGTGTCTCCTCCTCTACCACCTTGGAGTAAAGGTCATCCAAGAGTCTTCTCTACGCCACCAAAAGAGCATCTAGGAGCCTCACTCTCACCACCAAGGGAGCATTCAGGAGTCTCATTCTTGTAGCCTGGAGAGAGTCAACTTCCCTCATCCTTGAACAAGTCCTTTGGAGAGCACACCAACCGTCACACCTCGCCCCGTTGAGAAGATGATAAGGTGACCTCCGCCAGATCAACTACCTAATTACTATCAAATGGTCCTAAGAAATTATGACCGTCAGACTAGTCATATAATTACTATGTCAAACCACTACAAATTGTAAGCTCCCCCAACACTTGGGGGGTATCAGACTCATTTGAGCATAATTCTCTCCTCCCCTCTTAAAGTTTGTAATCATGTGCTCTCCCTCCACACCAGAGATAATAAAATTTTGGCAAACCTAATCATTCAAAGTGAACGTAGGCCATGGCCGAACCACTATAAACCTTTTCTTCTATTTCTTTCTCTCTACTTTACTTCATTTCATGTTACTTAATTGACTAGTAGTATGCAAACCGATTTTGTGCATCATTAGTTTGGCGCCGTCTGTGGGAACGACAGTTCTCACCTAGCCACTTTCTTTTGCTGAGTCAAAGTCGATCACCAACAGATCCATGAATCAGCCTGAAAATAACCCACCACCAAGAGAGGAGGAGGTTGCTCCTCAACCAACCAATCATGCCTCAAATGAGCAGCAAATGCTCGAGACCATGCAGCAACTGGCGGCCCAGAACCAACAGATCCTACAACTAATGCTCCTTGGGCATCAAGAATTTCTCCACATAGGCGCTCCTAATCTAGGAAGAGGAGCACAACCTGGACCTCAAGTCAGAGGAGCTCCACACCCTAGGCGTCAAGGAGCTCCCCACATGGGTGCTCCTCATCTGAGCGGCCCCTTTGGAGTCCCCTCAGACGCCCCGCACAGGGGAGATCCCCACAAGGGACCTTCACCTCCTCTTCTAGCTCCCTCTGTTCATGGTGGAGACCCTCTTTTCCAAGAGGACGAGGGTGAAAACCAAAGCTTGGAGCATGGGAGTCATGTCCATGGTAATTCCAAGGGATCTCCTTTTAATCATTGGGACGAAAAAATTAAAGAGGTGCAGAATCAATTAGGTGATGTCTTTAACGCTATGAAGGCACGAGGACCCTAGATAGTGGATTACCTTATAAGTCGAACCGACACACCTTTCAAACCTGACGTGGCGAACTACCCACTCCCTTAAAAATTCAAGATGTCATCCGTTGAAAACTTTGATGGTACGAAGGATCCATTGAACCATCTTGAAACTTTTAAGACCTTGATGCAACTGCACAACGTCCCTAACGAAATCATGTGCAGAGCGTTCCCAACCACCTTGAAAGGATTCGCTCAACAGTGGTTTGTCAAGATCACCCCCGTTTCCATTGGCTCATTTGTTGAGCTGAGCAGGCCCTTCGTGTTGCACTTTATTGGAGGACATCGTCACCAGAAGCCTGTCACCCACCTGCTCAGCATAAAGCAGGACCGAGATGAGAGCCGGCGAAGCTACCTCACTCATTTTAATGAGGAGGTCCTTCAGGTCGAAGAGCTCGATGAAAAAGTCAACATGACCGCCTTCTTGGGAGGCCTTCGATCATCGAGCTTATTTTTCTCCGTAATAAAATGCCTACCAAAGAGCATGCCAAAACTATTGACAAAAGTTCAAAACATTTATGAATGCTGAGAAAATCAATAGGTCCAGGCGAGGTGAATCATCTCACGGATCGCCAAAAGTTTGGCCTGCCTCTACACTGTTCTTAAACAGGTAGTTTATCTCCAGCTTAGCAGCTCTCTCTCGGGTCGCCAAAAAGGTTGGCCTACCTCTACACTATTCTTAAACAGGTAGTCTATCTCCAACTTAGCGGCTCTCTCGAGGGTCTCCAAAAAAGGTTGGCCTATTTCTACACTATTCTTAAACAGGTAGTCTATCTCCTACTTAGCGGCTCTCTTGAGGGTCGCCAAAAAACTTGGCCTACCTCTACACTATTCTAAAATAGGTAGTCTATCTCCAACTTAACGACTCTCTCAAGGGTCGCCAAAAAACTTGTCTACCTCTACACTGTTCTCAAACAGGCAGCCTATCTCCAACTTAGCAGCTCTCTCGCGGGTCGCCAAAAAAGTTTGACCTCTGCACTGTTCTCAAACAAGTAGTCTATCTCCTGGCTCTCTCACGAGTAGCCAAAAAAGCTTGGCATCTACTCTGCTCTCAAGCAAGTAGCCTATACCTTAAGCATAAAAACTCTCTCATGGGTCGCCAAAAACTCAGTCTCAAAAGATGTAGCTCTCTCATGAGCAATTCTCAAACTCTGTCTTGCTCTTGCGTAAGCAGCCTATTTCTTTCTTCAGGTAATCATGTTAAATATTTTAATGTTTGAAATAACATTATTTTTGTCGTCATAAGTAGGTTCACCCATTTCAGCTCGGCGACATAGAACCGTTGGGAGATGTGATAAGCAGAAACAATCCTCAGAATATCATGGAAGAATTTGATTTTGAGAAGGTGCACTGAGAGAAGCTGGACCATCACCGTTGAAAGTGTCTGGCGTACTCTGCTCCCAGGCTCTAGAACCAGGCTCACCAAGAAATTCCTTGGCAACCCCGCCTGCATGGGCGAGAACTGAATTCCCTACAGGGGCATCCAAAGCTCCTTGACTACCTGAACTCCTCGAATCATCACCAAAAGTGGCATCCAAAATTTTCTTGTAGCTTGCACTACTCAACCCAATGCCTAGAGAGGTGTCTGACCCCCTTTGCTCGCCTAAATGGGCAGCCCAGTGCCTAGAGAGGCGTCTGGCCCCCTCTGCTCGTACAAGCGAAGTAGTCTTGCAGGCGCCCTACCATTTGTGCTCGCCCAAAATGGTGCCTCTTGGTGCCTTCACGCCAAGACCAACCTTCTTTCCACTTCCCTACTCACCAGGATTAGCTCCCCTAGGCGCTTGATGGACCAGATCAACACGTCCAGCATGTATGAAGACTCGAGCAGCCCCCTCACCTACTGCGTGAACTGTAGCAATGCACAGGGAGCAGGCCCTTTCTTGGCGCTTGTCTTCCCATCTCCACGCCAGACCACCCCTCTTACTCGAGCAGGCTGCTCCTCAAGATGACCTGGAGTGGCGCTTAGGCAATTTCCCAACTCACCCAAGACCTCTTACTCGCCCAAGTTCCTCAAGTCAGTATCCTAAAAGGCACTCAAGGCCTTTTGCTCGCCCAAAACAACATTCCTAGCTGCATGGTCACCCAGAGCAGTGTCTGTTCGCCCAAAACAGCACACTAACACATCTGCTCGTTATTTTGGCTGTAAATTTTGCTACGTAAGTCAAAATGGGACATATTATAAATCAAATCGAAGCTCTCGACGATCTGAGTAAAACTCATTACCTTTGGTAATGAGCTTTCCAAAAAAAATCCAAAAAACGTCATGAAAGAGGTATTTTGGCCTCCCGAAGTTTTAAAAAATAAAATAAAAAATTACCCAGGAGGCTGTATGCTTGCCAGGAGGTGGTTTGCTCGCCAAGGAAGTGGCCTGCTCGCCCAAAAGTTGGTTGTTCACCCAAAAACGCGCCCTTGGCTCCTTGCTCGCTATTTTGACCGTAACTTTTAGTTCATAATTCAAAATGGGGCTTATTATATACCAAATTGAAGCTCTCGACGAGCTGAGCAAAACTCATTACCTTTGGTAATGAGCTTTTCAATAAAAGTCTAAAAAAGTTCAGAAAGAGGTGTTTTAGCCTCTCGAAGCTTTTAAAAAAAAAAAATTCTGCTCTCCCAGAACAGTGCTCTACTCGCCTGGACAGCTGCCTGCTCGCCCAAATTGCTCGCCTAGCTCTCTGTTCGAAATTTTGACAACAACTTTTGCTCTGTTGCTTGAAATAAGTCTTATAATATATCAAATCGAAACTCTCAGCGAGCCCTTCAATACTTACAGCCTATGACTATGAATGATGCTGTTAAAAGTCCAAAAAATGCCTATAAATAGATGTTTTGGCCTCTCAAAATTTTTTCAGTTATACTGGTAAGCCAAAAATTCAAATTCAACTTAAATGTTCTCCTTTCTAAGTTCTGTTGGATGCAGGGTATTGTGGGGCAAATGATGGGTCAGGCCCAAAGGCCCAACTTGTGTTATAAGTCCAATTCGAATTATAGCCCGACTCCAAGAGATCCAATAAATTCAACCTAATGTGGTCAACCCAATCAAGCTCATCAGGCTTAAGGA